ACTGAAAGTGCATTTATTCCAAACACTGCAGATGAGACGAATACAACAATAAAATGTACAGAGAACAACACTCTGTCACAAGAAAATTTAACATTATCAGTGAGTGGATTCGTCTGAAAGCCAAAACCAGAAGGATGAATAAAGGAAAACTTACAGTGATTAACTGGAAAAAAATTGTAACACAGTAGAAGGCTGTGAACACGAGCTTCAGCAGTTGAATACATTCCTACTTTCAGTATTTCGAACCTCGGAAAACCAGAAGAAAATGACCCTGCTAAAAGACATATATAATTTGGAGTTAGTGGGTTCCGCTACCAGAAATGTACCTAGAGAAGAGTCTTCAGAATGTATATCGTAAGCGTAGAAGGATAATATTATATATTACAGATCACCTTCGCGTGAAATCGTGTGCATCAGAAACGCACTATAGTACACATGTGCGATAGCTTGTTATGCAATTAAATCTAGACATGGGATAGTGGCTATGGGAGGAATATGCCATGGTTCACGTTGTCTTGCTAACAAATTTACTTTAAGTCATATCTTTTAGTGGCCCATTGTTTTTAAGCCAATTGAATCTGACGACGTCGACGGGCTCACCACTTTAGTGGCCTGATATCTGATTCCATTTGGATCGTTTCTGATTGCTTGTTATTGAAATACTCATAAAATCAATCCTCATATATAATTATCGACTTAGATCGCATTGATGAATAACGGGATTAAATAAGTCAAATACGCAAGCGTATTTCTGAATACATATATTTTGTATACTCACCGATCTAGACAGACAATCAGAGATATGAAGCGAAACGAAAGCACTAGCAGTGGAGAAGGCATGTAAACCAACTCGATCTAATCAAACGTTAATCAATATTTATAGACACACAACATTAAGCTACAGACATGCTATGAGTAGGATATAATGTACATACACATACACTCATATAAAAACAGTCAAATTCGACAAGCGAATAATTAACGAGGTCAAAACCCGAATCAGGAAGAATGGGTAAATTGGCCTGTTCGAAAACTAGAATCTATTATACAGCCTTAACATAGTAGCTTGCCCTACAATTTATTCTTGGAATAAGGCCGGTCGTTCTCGCATCGTTGGCGCCGCACACCAACTGGATAGGCTTACAACCCCAAGTGGGTGTTTTCACAGTGGCCTACTGTCAGCCATTATTTGGTGTGCGCTTGTTCAATGTGCCGCCAAACCGACAAATACTAACTGTTAACACCTGACTTTGTCTTTACACCACTCTGATGATGTCATCGACATTCAGCACCTTCCCTCATTAGTAAGCAGTGATCACGTTTTGTACCTTACATCAGGTTTCGATCACATATGACGCAGTATGTATTTCTTCCACCCATCCCAATATCTGACGAGCTAACATTTCGGCAATCAGAGACTGTGTCATCTCAAAAGACTAGTTGATCTTCGTAGATGGGTCTGTCGAAAACAAATGTTATATGTTTAAGACCATATTCCAATCCGTAACACAACCGTTCATTCCATAGTCAACATGTAGACTATCACATTGCCCTACATGGATCGATTAGGAAACTAGAATTCTGTTGAAGTGCAGATCGCACTTCTGGGACTTTTTCTTGCCAGCAAGCCACGAATCGTTTAAGTATAAATACCAAAAATCCAGTGTACATGTAAAAAGACGAAGGCCAGGTGTCGCACTACTTTCAAATGACAGTTGATATATGATGGTCGTACATTACTAAAACACCATCTAAAGCTCAAAGCTTAGTGATGGTATTCCTTCACTATTGTTACACGATAATTCAAACACATTGCCTGGATCATTTCTGGCCAAAGCTGAGACTGTACCAAACTATCTCAGCGAAATCTACTCAATGGGTGCTATTAACGAAACATGTTGTAACCTCATCACTGAGATATTAGCTATGCAACCTGTATATGTGACTGAGGAATCTGTTCTTCAATTGGTCCTTAACATCAGATCTAGGGAGATACCGGATCCTGATGAGTTGCATCCACAGTTGCTGAGATTTCTCGCAGATACTATTTCAGGACCACGATGCTGTTCAGCATGTCCCTTTCTCAAACTCAAGTTCTCAGGAATTGAAAAGATGCTATACATAGTCTTACATTTGGATATGGAAATAGGTAGATCGTTTTTAACTACTGACCCGTCAGTCTAATCAACATAATAGCTGGGTTACTTTAAAAAATATTTCAGGCTAAGCTTCTGAGTCATATACAATAATACAATCTGCTGACACATGAGCACCAGGAGTTTTGAAATAAGCACTCATAGCTAACTAACTTACTCGTTCCGAGAGAGGATTGGACAGAAGCCCAAGATAACGATTTGTTTGCCGAGGTTTTAGCAAAACATTTGATGAAGTTTCTAATTTAGATCTTATCCAGAAGCTCTCGAGCTTCAGAATAATATGTCCCGTACAATAGTGGATAAAAAACTTCCTCTATGACCGGAGACAGAGCATGAGAGTAAATGGGATACTATATGAATGTAAACCGACCAAAAATGGTGTATCACAAGGTATCATCTAATGTCCCCTACTTTTCCTTCTTTACATCAATGAATTACCGCAACTGTCTAAGGCGTTGTCACTGCTGTTTGCAAATGATTTTGAAATCTGGGTGAAAATAAATGGGGTTGCTAATCATCCTGATCCCCAAGTCAAATTAGATGAATTTGTCAGGTGGTCTCAAATTTAGGGCTTACAAAGTGACTCTAGAAAGAGTGTGCCAATGCATGTCGGATACGGCAATAGTTACTAGTCTGCTGTTAACGGTACACCTCCTCCATGTGTGGAGGAACTCAAAGACTTATGGAGTGGAATTAAGTCATGGCTTAAAAACAACTGCACATTGTAATGCATCAGCGGCCAAACGTTTTCGCGTGCTATGTTCACTTCGCTGAGTATTAAAAAACTGATGAGGTGTTTCGGACTTTATATCCTGCTTAAGTAGGACTGTACCGACAATACTGCATCAAAGTGGCTGTTTTATTTCTTAGCAAGGATGCTGACACACTCAGGCATGTTCAACGCTTAGGAAAAACGTTAATGAAGGGTCTCTACAAACTACCTTATGATGGATGCTTGAAACGTCTGACCATTTTCTTATCGTATCATGTTATCAGGCGGACTCATATTTCCATTCCGTATCTTTCATAACAACTTTGGTATTTATATGTCCCACCTTTTTGCTCCATCCAGAACTAGTAGTCTCCGAGGGCACAGCAAGGAGGTTCAAAAACAGCGATCAAATAAACTTAGACTGGTGTTCCATTCTTTTCGTTGAATGATTGATGACTTAAATGCCTTATCTGAACAAGTGACATTGTGGTGTATGCTACTTATGTCGATATATATAAGTAGTACGTAACACCATTCAGAAGTGGAATGAGTGGCAACAGAAGGTTGAGAAGATCTGATTGGAGGGAATAGAAATATAATCAGATAGTAATTGTAATAACAACAAAAATAAAGAAACGATGAATTTTGAAAGAGATGATTGATGGAAGATGTTGAAATGAAATATTCGATGTACTGTCTCCATACTTTGCGAAGACACTGTATTTTGCATAAAACAATAAATTTGTCATCCCCTCTTGACTTCTTTACCCTATCAACGAACATTTTCAGAGAGAATCCCGGGTCTACATTGGGAAGCAAGCTTCAAGGATTGTCACAGTTCCCCTGAACTACTGTCCTTAATGTTGAAGAATAAAGGTTAATTATTGTTATACTTATATACTTCAGTTCGTGAGACAGAATGACAATGTACATCAGTTGATTGTGTTCCAATAGGATGGTTCGGCTTTCATAGATAGCCTACAACTTCGTGTTATAGGGCGCATCATATAGCACACCACATTACAATTCATAGGTGAATATCCTGGGGAGATAATTGGGGAGTTACTCACCAGTAACTCCTACGATGACCTTCGCCACTGCAGAGCAAAAAAACTGACCGGAAACTAAAAGTTTCAAAATTGCCATCCCTTTGAGATACAGGTGTAACTTCTCTCCTTTTTTATTCAGAGGGTAGTCCACTCTTAACTAAAAGGACTTGGAAAAGCGTTGCTGAAGAGAAGCCAATAAGGTCATAGAATTCCATCAAGACTCTGTGTCATGTACCATCTGAGTCATTATATTTGCACAAGCTGGTGATCTGTTCGACTTCAAGAGGTTGGAGCTTCACGAAACTTGGACTATAATGGGAAAAGATGAGAAAGGACTTACCGGACGGAGTAACAGCAGACTAGAAATAATTGGATTAAATGCCCAGGTCTGTAGATTAGCAGCCACCTTATTTGAGCTCTGTAAACTTATTAACGTTTTTAGCAATTACAGATTGATCTTCAAATTCATTTATTACTTCCTTACACTATAAATATAAAACTGATGCCTTCGAATGGTCTTAGTGGGCTAATAGTGAACCATTGAAGAATGAGAATCGAAAGGTTAGGAGTTTATGGAAAACGTTGATCGTTAGATCTCTCACCACTCATAAAATCCGTGCTTCCACTAGGCGGTTATTTTCGTATACTAATAGAACAGGGAAGTAATGTAGTTACTTGATTACTCTTGTACAATAGCTGATACTGCGTAAATCAAGCACGACCACATCTTAGAGTTTGTTCAGCCAATTAAGATACGTCCGACGATATTTGTATTAAAACTCCTCATTGCCTCACTGCTTAAGTGTTAATCTTTCGTGCCTGTAGGTAACCGTCGTGCTATTGATAGGAGAAACCAGACTAGTAGTGAATAGGTCTTTATTTAGATCTTCGCGCAGTCACAGCGGAGAGTGGGATTACCTGTTCAGACAAAAAAACCTCTTAACATTCAATATAAAATAATAGGAAATATTAAGTCTATGCAAAATAAGGAAGTGAATGAATACTTGAACTATACTGTTTTGACGTGATTAGTTGTTTGAGGTCAACTCTTAACCAATCAACCTGAGCTGCTCCATCTATCATTATTAATCTTCATGATCACAGCAAAAGGGTTCAGAAACAACCAAATAAACGACTAAAAGACCCTAAACATGTAATAGCAGATTTATCAGCAAAAAATAGCGAATGAAAAACTTCGCTTATACATATCTCAAGTAACAGCACAGGTCGACTGAAGCACTACCTTGAAACTTGATTACTAGATGTTGAGGGCGGTCAGTTCATCATTCTGCGCTACTATGACGAGAACTGAGGGTCAGGGCGAACGAGCCTTGACTGCAGTGAAGGATACACTCGACGACATCAAAAGCCGTCCTCACCGCCAGCAGGTTATTATAGGTGTAGGATCAGGACTGTAAGATCGTAATAAAATTTTCAAATTACTTCCCTAGACTTGCAGGTTATATATTCGCGAAAATCGGCAGGGTTGCTGCTCTTTTTTTGGGTGGAAGTCTGATTGCCTTACAAGTATGTGACTTTGTAAACTGTCTTTAAAATTTGTCCTTGACGTTTGTTGGAAAATGTTAAAATAAGGAGTCTAAGCAATGGAATAATAGACACCTTTCTTGACCTGCATACCACCATTTTAAAGTCTACTTCGTTCTATGGTTTACTACACCCTAAATTGGCGAGCTATATGTAGATAACTGAGTTTTATCGATTTACGTCACAGTCAAAAATCGCTTATTTTACAAAATATTAGAATTTATACATTTCCTCATACGTGCGGCTTTCGTGAGTTGGTTTGTTTTCATAGTTCAAAATGAAACGGTTGGTAAATCAGCAACGTAAAATTAAAAAATATACATAGAATGTTATTAAGCTTAGAGGCTGATCAAAAGTAGTAAACCAGATACAGCAAACTGTCTTTCAAGTTATTTGGAAAAAAAGATGCTAGTGACCTAAACATACAAACTTTACACTGGTTTTTATTTGGCTATATCATTTAGATCTCATATCCTCATGCACTAACCATACGGACTATATGGTAGTTCAAACAGTTGAAAACGATTAAATGGATTGACTGATTTTATTTCAAAATCCAATATAAGTGTGGGTTGCTGTCAATTATGTACTCCATATATCTCAGTCGGCTAGGCTGATACAACTTCATAATTTAACTCATGATTACCGTGTTCATATGTTTTAGTAACATTAACAATTGTCGATTACCATTATTTTTATTATCATTCTGCATTCTTACATAATTCTATTGCTTAAAATTTTCACTTAGTGCGCCGTCCAACAAGACGTTATACGTATCAATTGGAGAAAAGTGGAACATGCTGGTCACCAAATACAGTCAAACACACCTGTCATCTTCGAAGACAAGGTAGGCCCTCAGTGGGTTATGTCTTTGGTTTCGAAATAGTATTTGATAGTTCTTTCTGGATCCTTGCTTTTTATTTCATCACCTACTATTTTGCAAAGTACCTAGTTGCTTCGCTAATCAAACATTTTAGTTGCAATTCTTAAATCCTTACTAATATTTTAAGTCAAAACTACTGTGTGCTATTTCTAAATTCCAGATATGCACGCGAAATAAGCAATTAAGGCAAATTTTGCTCGTTTATTTAAATTAGGGAATTGACTGATCTCTTCAGTATATAACTCACTGATCTACATATAGTCAAATAGAAACTTTAATCGTATCTTATATCATTTTTCTCATGACTGATTTTCTGACTTCTGTTCAGAGATAAAACGAAATCAATACAGTTCCAATAGCGTATGCATGAAACGGTAAGGGTTGAGATAAGTTGGTAGTTCTAATAAACTACTTGACTCGTTGAATTCAGTTGATGGGCCATCGTAGGCCAATACTCGATTAATAATATTTGATCAAAGGGTTTTTATGATTTCTTATGAGAATTGATAAATCGATTAATTTATTGATTTATTCGAACACAAATACTGGTACAAGAAGGCACCAGGTACATATGCGCCACACAAATCAAATGATTTGTGTGAGGGCTGTGACACTGCACGGCTGCCCAAACTGAGGTAGGTGGTTTTCTTATGGGGCCACACCCGGAGCCTCCGACCTAAAAGTTCCATCCACAAGGCAGTGGAGCATCGTAATGAAATGCAGTCCCATGGTAACCAGTGACCAACGATTGGTTCATACGCCATTTGTTCCTTCAGGATACTGGAGCCCATGTGCATCATTGGTTTGGAATCAGGGTTATTTTCCAACTCTCCTACGTGGACTCTATATGTCCACTAACCTTGTTAAAGCGCCGGACATTCGACTAACTAGGCCACAAGCTCTCATCAACCTAGGTAGAAGAAATACATGATAAGCGTATCTCACCCACTCCCTACCTCAGCACTCAATGCTGAGTTCCATAAGAGTAGGTTAAAAGAAAACCACAGGCCACCAAACGAAGCCGTGAATTCAGTCCACTAAGTCTTAAACATTCGAACTTAATAACATCGGCTAGTGCAAAGTTTCAGTTTGGAATCTGTAAGTTAATCGTAACCTATGAATAAAAGACGTCAGGTAATATGTCCCAGAATCAGTTGCAGTGGAACAGTTGGATTCAACCTTGATTATACTTGTTTTCGATCTTGTGTCCATCTTGTTAATTTTATTTCTTTATGTCTTCAATGTAAGTTGTGGTAACTTTGACCTAAAGGTCTAATCCACAAGGGGGTGGGGCAACATCAGGAGATGCAGTCCCATGGTAGCCGGTGACCAACAATAGATCCACATGCCATTTGTTTCCTTAGGATCCTGGAGCCCATGAGCTCCATTGGTTTGTAAACAGGGTTTTCTAGCTCCCCTAGGTGGATGCTTCAACCTACCGACCTGGCTAATGCTCCGGACATTCGCTTTTCGTCCTCTCAATTTCGTAAACAACAGTAATGCAACGAAAAGGCACCGAGTAGGACTGTGGTGTGTGTTACTAATGTTGACAGATATAAGTAGGATGTATCATCAGTCAAAAGTGAAATGCCCGGAGCAGAAGTTTAAGAAGATCAAAGAAAAGAGAAAAGGAACAAAGAATTATTGGTGTGGTAACGAAAGAACGATAAAGTCTTAGATGATTGGTTGACATTTTGCAAATGAAGTGTTTACTGTATGGTTCTCAGATTTTACCAAGATGTTCTGTAATTTTGTATTCAAGTACATTGGGTTGTCCTCACTTGCGTTCTCGTTCACTACAGGACTTCCCTGGCAGTGGTTGTGTGCACGTGGCAATGTGAGAGCGCTTAGAGAGGGACAGCTTTCTCTTCCCACTCTCGACCGTACCAGGGTATTTGGGAGCATCCTACTTAGTAATCAACAATTTAATTGCAACTTGCTCAACACAGGATGTAAATGTTTTGAAAATCTTTAAATGCTTACTTATGAATAGCTCCGAATCGGAATAAAACATTCGCTTACTTTTTCTCGGTTATCAACACCCTCAGTTGCCATGCTAGTTTAAAGTGAGGACGGGTTTCTTTATACATTTACTTAGTTTTATATAAATTTTCCCAGTAGATCTTTTTTAAACTTTCATTATAATTCCTTTCCTTTACTTATTTCTATGTAAAGCGTGCGTCGAAAAATAAAGTTAGTCATACAAGAAATGTGCATGTCGTAGATTGTTGTGAATCATTGTCCTTATATATACGTATTATTGCTGGTGATATCTATCTGCTTATAATTTTATCATCACATTTTACACTGAGCACCAATTTTTATTCGTTCTCACTTATTCCTTTTCTCCATTTATTTATACACATGAATAATCTTATCAGTTGAATGCCATATCAGTAACTTACGAGTATCTTCTACTCTTAATGGCCACGTTTCGCATCCGTAAAGTGGAACGGAACGAATTGCCACGCAGTTTACTCGTCCCTTAATTGACAGACGGATATCTCGCCTTCTCCATAGGTGACGGAAGTTGGCAAAACCCAAACGAGCTTTTCGAATCCGTGCAGAGGTTTCGTCAAACACCAACCCATTAGGGTTGATCAGACTTCCAACATAAGTGAAGTTGTCAACGCGTTCGACTACTTCACTCCCTATCCTTAGTTTAGGTGTTGACACAGGCCAGTCCTGAAGCAATAACTTGGATCTAGAGGGGGAAAGCATCCCAAACATTCTGGCATTGTCGCTCAGTGCTACTGAAAAACTGCACTTTATCAGCGTCTTCACCAAACAGGACTATATCATTTGCGTATTCTAAGTCGATAAGTGGATCTCCTCGAAGAAGGTCAATACCTGAGAATTCAGTAGACGAGAATGTTATTTCCATCAATAGGTCTATGATGAAGTTAGACAGAAATAGAGATAGTGGACAACCTTGCCAAACACCATTTGAGGTTGCAAAAGCAGATGACAGTTTGCCATAAGCTCTGACTCGACTAGTAGTGTTCGAGTAGAGAGCCTTCACAAGGTTTATGTTCTTCTGAGGTACGCCTTTCACTGACAGACACTGTCACAGAATCTCGCGGTCTACCGAGTCAAATGCTGCTTTTAAGTCAAGAAAGACCACCATTGTCGGATGCCAATAAGTATGCCTGTGTTCTAGAACCTGACGAATGGTGAATATGTGGTCGATGCAGCCACAACCAGGTCTGAAGCCAGCCTGATTTTCTCGTGTTTGCAGTTCACGAGTCTTTGTTAGGCATCCGAACATTATTGGGGGTAGTATTTTAGATTCTATATTGAACTTATGGTTATTACAGGGTGATTTTGACCCGTTTTTATATATTGGGACAATCAGTGATTGTGACCAGCCAGATGGGATTATGTCCAACCGCCAGATTTTTAGCTAAAGCATTAGTTCGTTCCGTCCTACTTTATGGCAGTGAAACATGGCCGGTAAGAGTAGATGATATTCGTAGGTTACTAGTATTTGATCATAGGTGTCTTCAAAACATTGTTCGTATATCCTGGGACCATCGAGTAAGTAACGCATTTGTTAGGAAACGGGTACTAGGTAAGGATGATAAATCAATTGATGCAATAGTGAAACTTCATCATTTGAGATGGCTGGGACATGTGTTACGTATACCCAACCACCGACTGCCTCGACGTGCTATGTTCAGTGGTATAGGAGTAGGTTGGAAGAAAGCTAGAGGCGGCCAGACCAAAACATGGCACAAGTCCATGAAGTCACTGACAAGTGGACTGAGTCACATTGGTAGGTGTTCACTACCTGGTTGGGATCTGCGAAATGATAGCAGCCGATGGTTAGAGACCCTGAATGACATGGCTCAAAATCGTTTGCAATGGCGCAGGTGCATCCACTCTTTGTGTTCTCCCAAATTCTAATCTTCTAAATTCTTCGTGTCCCTTTCTTTTTTCTCTTCCCAAATCTATTTCATTGGATTATACTCCGTGAATAACATCTTCAAACCCTGATGTTTCCGATTACTGCTTATACTCTTACAGCCTCTACCACTGTTGGATTTAAATCGATAACTGCATCTCTGTGCTAATGTGGTGTGGCAACTCGAACTGATGTACGTATGTACGAAGTTCTACGTTGTTACTGATTGACTGACTAACTGAAAGTATTAGTCAACCTAGTCGCTAAAATTGGACCACCATCCTTAAAAACCTCTGGCGCCAATCCATCTAGACCAGCTGCTCTCCCTCGTTTCAGATTAGCTATAGCTTTCTGAACTTCAGGTAGAGTCGGGGGACCTACGTCAATGTTCCATTCACACTGTCGATGGTACAAGATTCTAGGTCCTAACCAAGGAGGCCTGCTGGCCGATTTAACACAGGGTGCATACGTTGAAGGCTCCAGTATGTAATTTGGAGCGAGTTTTCAGCAGACCTGAGACAGTGTTTCGCGCACTAGAATCGTTGGCTATGGTGACACTTGAGGAGGAAGTCAAAAGGGCAAGTTTAGAGCTGAAAGTCGCGGTAGGAGGAATAATAGAAATTGAACAGGGAGAGTGATTATAAATGCAGTGATCTGGAGTGCTGTTAGAGGTATGAGGGCGGTTATCACTTCCCTGTTGCCCACACCGTGGAACGGTTCTTCTGGAGGTAACTGAATAGGAAATTGGATTAAAGGTGGTTTTAGTGACGTAAGAGCGTGACCACGGTGCCTAAGGGGCAACTGCTTGAGGTCGGTCACACACGACCTTTTTATGGGTAATTTTCGTGTTAACTCCTTACTTATTGAAACCTTACCGCTCGAGACGGATATCCGTGTGATAATGCGAGGTGTGCATTTTAGGGTTGACGTTTTCTAACCCCACCCCTTCTTATGGGAAGGCAGCATTGCTGTTATGTTAGATGTCTGAAGGAAACACCTTACTGCTGTCACACCTCTGTACAGTCAGCAGTACAACTTCGACCTCAGACCTTGGGTTTGCTGTTTTTAATCTTGCCACTCTTCAACCGACCTGTTTGGCATGGTAGGACCTTGAGGTAGCAGCAACGGTCGGGACAAATGTTACCTGATGTATGACATTGTAAGCAACTGTCGTTGACTTAGCAATCCTTTCATTCACTTTGGCTAATGCTTCCTTAGTGTTGTCGTCTACTTATACATTTTTCGTATTTCTATTAGGATGTTCCGTTAACAGCCGCATGACAGTCGATTCGGTTTGAACTATCAATAGAGACTTAACAATCATCCAAAGGCTTTGAGTTGCTTATTAGTGTTTAGTTTTGGCTATCCAGAACAGTTACCACCTTTGACAATGACAAATACCTTAAACGTCCATGTTATCTCCAACAGAGTCATACTGTAGCATCGACTATTGATTTGGAATCAGGGTTTTCCAACTCCCCTAAAAGGATGTTCAAACCTACCGACCCGGTTAAAGCGCCAAACATTCGCTTTTCGTTCTCTCGATTTCTTAAACAACACCCTCGTCGCATTTGGGAGCTCACGATTGTTTCAAGAAGTCGAAATTGTGATACAACAAATTTTTATATAATAAAAACTATAACCTTAGGGTATATGATGAAAATAATAGACTAAAAGAGAAGGTAGCTAATCAGATAACAGCAAAAGTCAGTAAGGTAATATCAATTCAAAAATTTATAACGACCATAAAATGAATACGTTCTCACTGAATCATAAACTTTTTAGAACACCTAAACGACTAATATACCTGAAAATATTGTATTTCTCATTATTGTTCACCCTCCCATTTTCTATATTTCTTAATGTTTCAATCTTTTACTTGGTGTTAATAATGGTGCATTATTTTGTGTGTGTAATGAAAATTATTTGGTGTTCATAGAATTAGAATGTTGCTTTGTGTATACATGAGTGAATAATCATTTGAATCATTTGAGCTTTAAGACAATTATGATTTGGAAAGGTCGGTTTTTTGTCTCCGGTTCTCCCACTGGTTACTTGTAGTTTGAAAAAAACCCACCTTATAAAACTTTATTGAATTCGTGTATTTGTTATTCACCTTTTTTTTTTCTTACTGTCTCAATGAACAATACAGTGACAAAAGCTGTCCAAACATATATGTAGGATAGATACGATTAGGAGTAAAATCAATGATAACTGTTACTGGCCTCATTGTTATTGTGCGGCTCATATGTATTTAGTGCCCCCTTGTACCAAATAAATATGAATAATAGTGTTAAATATAAAGCTTTATAAAACTTTCAACCCAACGTCGTATGCTAGAAACAAGTAAACGTATATTTTTGAGGACTCAGAAATTCTGAACGAAATCACAAGAAATACAATGAAACTACTGCTTTATTAGATCAACCATTCAGCTTTTTAATAAACTATATTGTTTTATAAATTTCAAGTCATTCATCAAAAAGCCATTCTACTGTTGACTCCAACTACCAAAGATATCTCGGACCTCGTAGTACCTTATACTATTCAATATCTACATCTACGTTTTTAACATTAAATTTAGTATATCATCCATTACACTATAAAACTACACTTCAAAGTTGTTTTAATAATATTACAACATTGAAAAGGGGTGTTCATCATTTCGGATCGTAATTGTCCCGCGATTTTAAAAAACGCAAATATTGAATAGATTACTATCTAATGGGGAAAAGTGATATTGATATGTGCTTAATCTCTTTCCCTCTCGTTTATTTATTTATTTAAACACATAAACATTGGTACAAGGATGCAATAAACAGATATGCGCCACATAAATCTTTCGATTTGTGTGAGGGCTGGGATGCTACCCGGGTCCCTAAACCGAAGTAGATGTTTTCCTTAGTGGGCCACACCTCGAGACTTCGACCTGAAGGTCGAATCCACATGGCAATAGAGTAACTTCAGGGGATGCAGTCCCATGGTAGCCAGTGACCAACGATTGGTTCATACGCCATATATATATTGCATGTCAACCACGATAACTAAGATATTTCTTACACCCCATCGATTCTTTAGGTTTCAAAGTTTGTACATCTTTTTCGAAGTATGTGTTCGCATGTTCAAATTCATCCTTAGTTACCGAATTTTATTCAGCAATTGCATCGAGTTCAATGTAATTCATTGTAGAAAAGATTTCTCAGAACCAAATTTGAACTTGAAACTCATTTGTTGATAAATTAGTTATAAACACTCGATTAATTCAATCAATGTCACAAATCAAAACATTTTGATGTAGTTGCGTTCTTCGAACTGGATATTGTAATCTTAAAGCTTTCATTATTTTTCTGTCATTGACAACTGAAAAGGCCAGTGATATCAATAACCTTAATAACTTAATTCTAGGGATATATCATCAAATTTTTAATAACATAGTCAATAATTACCATGTGCTCACTAGTGACGAGCTTCATGAGGAAATTCTCGGAGTTCTAGTGAGAAGCCGTGATCAGTGGAGCTAATCCGTGTCGGATAGAGACAGGTATCTACCTCAGTACAATGGAAAATAGTCGCGCAATTTTGTGGGCTAGTTGAAGTTAGACATTAACTCCGTTGGACGCCGGCTCAGTGGTCTAAATGTTAAGCGTTCGCGCGCGAAACTGAAGGCCCTGGGTTCGAATTCCGCGAACGGGATCGCGTATGCACACTGCTGAGGGGTCGCATAATAGGACCAAACGGCCATCCACTGCTTCCAGGTTTTCAGTGGTGGTCAAACATCAATCAGTTCATGATCTCAATCAAAAACTTAATAAGCTCCATAACCTTATACAGATAAAGTGAAATCCTTTTCCCAATATCTAAAACATTTTCTCATTTCTTTTTTTTGTAGATTATTAAAACAATTGAAGAGAATCGTGTATTTTTCGGTTCGTTCGGTGGGGGGTTCCTAATTGCTATTTCATTTGCTTAGTTTAATCTCTATCGACTTTTTTTGAAAACGTTTCCATCTGTGTTGTCAGGCTTCATTTGTTTGTATTTAATAATCTAAGTTTGTTTGTCAAATATTGCTATATCAACACGTATCTTTGTGTCTGTAAATAAAGTACATATTCTCCAGCCGTCTCTCTCTCTCTCTCTCTCTCTCTCTCTCTCTATATATATATATATATATATATATATATATATATATATATATATATCACAGTTTCTATACACTTTTACAAGTACCAAAAAATGTACTTTTTATTTTAACAAATATTTATATTGTACTAAAGATAATACTTTTGCAAGTTATTGTAAGTAGTCTAGTCACTAATTGATACTAATGACAGAAATTCCTGTCGGTTTTTTCTTTTGATGAATTTTTTTTCCATCTTTTCGTAGTACGTTTTTCCTTCTAAACATGTTGTATTTCTCTATATGTGAACAATACACATGGTATAATATATTTAATTTAAATAGATAGATTTGTTCTAATTTTACTATGGTATTGTTGTTCTTCCCTGATTTGTGTGTACTTTTGTTATATACAGAGTATTAGGGAGATGTTTTTGATATTAACTAGTCTATGCTATTTTATTGTTGTTTAGAATGTCTATACATTTAATATGTATGATTTCTTAACTAAGTGATTATTTTATCTAATGGGTTAATTGTTAGTGACTAACCATTCCTCGCCTCCAAATGCCCTGGTACGGCCGAGAGTGGGAAAAATCCACTCTCCGTCTCGAAATGTTTTCACATGGCTACGCATATATAGCCTCTGCCAGGGAAGTCCTACTCATTGCCTTCTCTTGGCGAGGTTGTTGTTTATGAAAATGAGAGGACGAAAAGCGAATGTGCGGCGCTTTAACCGTGTATGAACCAATCGTTGGGCAACCGGCTTCCATGGTAGTGCATCTGCTTACGATGCTCCACTGCCTTGTGGTGCCTCCTACCAATATCTATGTGTTATAATAAATAAATAAATAAACATTCCTTACAATGTCTTTCTCCTGTCCATAATTCAATATGATCCGCCTGTATTGAGATTGAGCATTTAATCGACAGTCGGTATAAACCTAAAACGATTTAATCAGTTGATGAGGTTCTGAATGTTGATCGACTGAAGTGGTTGGGTCACTTGTCACATATGCCTGAACACCGATTACTACGACGCGTAATGTTGAAGATAGCTGTAAGAAAGTTAATGGCTCCCAAACCAAAATGTGGCACCAGTGCTTGAAGTCACTAACTTCTAATCTTAGCCGTGTTGGTAGATGCAGTCTACTTGATTGGGGTTCTCGTGACCATCGTAACCAATGGTTGGAGACTGTGGGTTACATGTGTTATGCCTTTATGTCCGGCTTTTATCACGTAATTTACCTACCAATCAAAATAAGACTTATACAATCTTAGCGCTGTGCCAAACGAATGACGTTCGACCGGTATACGCAGTCTAGCGTCCTTATTGCTTCTGTGTCCGCCTAGCCCGTTCACTTGACTACAGAATACCAAATACCAGCTTCCAATATGCGAATCGAATAATTTATTTCAGACATTCTGGGTTTATATATCAATCAAAGACCGCAACGCACCATAAAATAAGAAATAACATTTGTACACAATAAAGCCAAAAAGTGGCTGTGAACGTGGGAGGCAGTAGTTAATAAACTGAACATAGCTTAAGAACCGTGAATCGTACAATAATAAATTATAGGTCAAAATAAAGCTTATAATAAGAGGAATATAAATATACATAATCTAATTATTGAATAGTTATACCATAAGCATGTATAGATAATATTAGTCAATTAATAAGTCAGAAGTTACTCGTGATTTGTTCTTCGCTCGGATATAACAACATGGCGTATGTGTATACACTCTATCTTTCCTTAAACTATGACATTAAAATCGCTCCGTATCTTTCTACGAACTAATTCTTTATTCCTGTTAACTTACGCCTTCAACAGGGTATTGTTAAATAGAATGAAAGATTCGGTAGACGCCCAACTTCGTGATCAACAGGCAGGATTCAGTAAGGATTGACCGTGTACAGACCAAATCGCAACTCCACGGATCATCGTGGAACAATCAATTGAATGGAATTCATCACTCTACATCAACCTCATTGGCTACGAAAAAGCATTTGATGGCGTGGACAGAACAACACTATGGAAGCTTCTTCGACACTACGGCGTGCCTCAGAAGATAGTCATATCATACGGAATTTCTATGATGGATTAAACTGCAAAATCGTGCATGGAGAACAGTTGACAAAGTCGTTCGAAGTGAAGACCGGTGTTAGGCAAGGTTGCTTACTCTCACCCTTACTCTTTCTCCTGGTGATCGACTGGATCATGAAGACGTCAACACCTGAAGGGAAACACGGGATACAATGGACATCTATGTTGCACTTGGACGATCTAGACTTCATCTGTGTAGTCTATAAGATTCCCATCCCATAAGTGCATTTTGTGCTCGTTTGGACAGCATCAATGCACCTCCTTGTGTATGTGGGGCATTTTTTCTTCGTGGTATAACAGAAGCTCTCCTGAAGTTAGTCGTTGTTGTCCAACTTGCGTCCAATGTGTTTCACTGATCTCAAGCATCTCTAGGTTGTATTTCCTGATTTCTGCAGCAATTTGGAAGACTCTCCCATTGTCCCGCATTGTACGAGCATTCCATGTACCTAACTAAATGGTTGCTCTGGTTATCTGAAGGGGCATCGGCCTCGTGACTTCCGAAGGAACTCGGCTTTGATTATGAGGTGTCATAACTCTTCTAAATGGAAACCTTCTACCTCCGAAGGGTAGAGTTTAAATGGCTTGAACTTTTTTCTGGTTAGCGTTTTTTAGCGAGTTAGTTTTCTACGGGATGGGGTCGCTGACCTCATGCCCAATCCTCTTCCTTTATCTAGGGTTGGGACCGGCAGTAGCCCCCGGAGGGACTCCAGGCGGAGTTATATGCAATCTTCCTCTGATGTATTACTACCATTGAATTAACTGCTTCTATGAATCCGGTGTTCATCTTGCTGTGCTAATTAGGTATGGCAACTTGGACTGATGTTCCAATGTGCCTGGTCCTACGTTGTAGCTGACTGACTGAAAACGATTTGATCAGATATAAGGCAATAACACGTCAAAAATTCCTGTTATTTTATATGGATTTTTTTAAGACAAACGGAATCTTAACGAATTAAATAGACCAGCGACTAATCTATGCACAGTAACGCTAAAACACTGACTATTCACAACGAATTGAAAAGAAAAAGGGTATTTCAAGAGAAATACTTCATTTCTTATACAATGAGTAATCGCATCTATGAAAAGGATGAATAACAACTGGAAGGAGCTTGAATGAATTGCCCAGGACAGGGTTGGATGGAGAATGCTGGTGAGCTGCCCATGTTCCTTCACGAGGAGTAACAGAGGTAAGTAAAAAAGTAAAATTGTATCTATGCAGGATAAGTTTATCGATCAGAACATATTCGAATTATGTGATTGAAAGTTGATAGAAATATCAGGCTGAACTTACAATTAGTTATAAACACTGGGGTAATGGGGCGGAAGCCTGGAGAACTACGAAAGCCATCATCCAGAAGATACAAATGTTTATTAACAGCTGTCTACGCAAAATACTTCGGATCCGTTGGCCAGACACTATTAGCAACAACCTATTGTGGGAGAGAACAATCCAGATCCCAGCGAAAGAAGAGATCAGGAAGAAGTGCTGGAAGTGGATAGGACACACATTGAGGAAAGCACCGAACTGAGTCACAATTCAAGCCCTCACATGGAATCCTCAAGACCAAAAAACACACTACGCCGGGAAATGGAGATAGACATGAGAAAAATGAACAAAAATTGGATAGAACTGGGAAGGAAGGCTCAGGACAGAGTGGGTTAGAGAACACTGGTCGGCGGCCTGTGCTTCATTTGGAGTAACAGGCATATGTATGTAAGTATGTAATTCCATCATATTGCAATATAGTTGCATTCTTTGAACTGAATATTGTAATTTTGAAATTTTCATTATATTATGAGAAGTTCAGTTATTATGCATATATTATACTACAATCTTTATAGCGAATGAAATCAATTTCATCTGAATCAATTAAACTACTGATCTAGAGTTAAGAGTGAGTAAATAGAAGTGCCTAATATTCATGATATGTATAAATCACATGTATGTGTATATAATCGATAAATTACATCATTTGATGATAAGCGTTTCCACGTGATATTCCAATTAAAGTCGTAATACTATAACACATGACTACTACATCCATTGATTTCTCAAATATATTACATATCGCTTATATTTATCGAGTACAAGTAATCAAAATATTCACTTTACTCCTTTTCTTGAGAAAGAAACAAAAAAACAACAACTTGAATTAGATACTGATATATGATGGTTGTCATGAGATTTGAAGGCCATTAGATCAATTTTAATTTTCATTAATTCTTCAGTTGATGTTAAACACCTTTGAATGAGAGAAGAAATATTTTGTCGATTAACTTACATACTTTGCTTCATAGAGACATTTGAAATGTTATATTTTTACTGAATAACTGTCTAATCGTGAAGAAGTATTTTTGTTACAATGATATGTCAGTGTTATTACTAGTTGAAAACTACTCCCAATACCCCGCACCGATGGCGTGAAATATCGTTGTCGGATGCAAATGCCCTTGGTACGGCTGAGAGCGGGGGGAGTCCGATTTCCCTCTCGAAATGCTCTCACATGGCCATGCATATATAGCCTCTTCCAGGGAAGTCCTACTCACTGCCTTCTCGTGGTGGGGATGTTGTTTACGAAATTGAGAAGACGAAAATCGAATGTCCGGCGCTTTAATTGTGTTGGTGGGTATGAAGAGTTCACGTTGAGGAGTTGGGAAACCCTGATTTCAAACCAATGGTGCATATGGGCTCAAATATCCTGAGGGAACAAATGGCGTATGGAATCATTGTTATTCATTGGCCGCCATGGGACTGCATGTCCTTATGTTGCTCTATTGCCTTGTGGATCAGACCGCTGGGTCAAAGGATCGAGGAGTAGTTCCACAAGAAAATCACCTCTATCAATCTGGGCACCCGGGTAGTACCACAGCCCTCATACAAATTTGATGACATGACAAATATTTTACATGTATGGTATGTCAATAGATA